AGACTTGGCTGGAAAAATTCAGCTTTTCCATCAACAAACTTTCTTCGCTTTGCTTAGAGTGTATAAGTCACAGCTGATAATAAATGAAGCTGAAGGCAGATGCGCTTTCAAACTCAGTCTCCTTATTTGGACGTCATTGGCGAATTGACAAGGCTTGCTCATTTCCTTGCTCAAAATCAGTTTTCTCATTTTCACTTGAACTGTGAGGCAGGGCTTACAGGGTTCAATTGCCTTAGTAATACTATAAAATGAATCAGTCATGGATCAGCATATTTCGCAACATTTCAACACCTTATGATACTCTTCTCCTAGCTTAGAGCATACGTTACCAGTGGTGCCCGTGTTACTAGTATCGAGTAACACGGGTAACATGGGTAACATTGGTAACACTAGTAAGACGAGTAACACTACTAACACGTGTGATACTAAAAACACGGGTAACACTGGTAATGTATGGTCCAGCCTAAAGATGAACCTACTTGAAATAGCGTCGTTTTCCTTATCACGATCTAATCACTGATTTTCCAGAATGACAGTTGAGAACCACTACATATCGAGCGAAGAACTGACTACTTATCAAAAGGATAAAATCGCTGAGCTGCGAGATAGAGCTTCGGAACACTTGGCAAAATATCCTGATTATGATACTGACTTCTCCTTGCTTCGATGGTTAATGGGATGGGACTATGACATCGGTGCTAGTTCATTACTCATTTTTTTCTAAGCTAAACTCATTCTTATTTTTTAGATGCTATACTGCCAAAGATACGCGAGTCAATTGATGTGCTCACATCACTAGGATTACATGAGGTTTCTGTAGAAGATATTTACGAGTTAAATGCAAAAATTCGCTCAATGTCGAATGTGAGCACATATTTTCCCGGTAATTCTATCTGCTTGTACTGCGAAAAATATATAAATTTTCTTACAATTGCGTAGGTGGACTGATGTGCCAAGATGACGAAGGAAATGTGGTGTATATGCAACCATTGGCTCGTTCACATCCGAAATCGTTGATTCGTTCCGGATGCGTCAGTGACCTACTAAGAATAAGCGTGGTGGAAGCCGAACTGGCCTTCAAACTTGTGAGGTGAGTTCTTTTGATAGGAAAATTCTCTATCATGTTAACCAAATAATCATTCCTGTTGCCTTTCCTCTTTAAGACTAATTCCCTTTTTGGCATTTCACTGATAATGTCAGTGCATGAGCAAAAAAGACGGAACAGTCCTTCTTGCATAGTACCAAAATGTCGTAAAAGAACTCGGAGAGACAGTAGACTCTAGTCCCTTTTTCGCTTAGATGATTTGATTTCAATCATCTCTTAGGCCTA